AACCCTAAACCCAAGCCTATATAATACATCATCCACCCATAAACCCTTAAACCCTAAACCCAAACCTATAATACATCCTACACCCACAAACGCGTAAACCCTAAACCCAAACTTATAATCAAGCCTAGACAGAACTCCGATCCTCAACCCAGGTCCGAATCCTTACTCTAAATCGTTTTGGGGTTTAGGGTGTAGGACTTAGGGCTTAGGCTTTGACTGATTCCCGAAGCACGACTCCGACGCAGCCTCTCGAGTTCAGCTTTCTCCTGGCAAGCAGAACCCTAAACAGGAAATCCAATCTCGAAGCCCCTGGGTTGACCATGCCCAGACCCTCGAAATCCCTAGCAAAAGGGATTCGGGTTTCGGGGTTCGTGATGATATAGGGTGTAAGTTCGGATATGGTGTAGGATTTACAGAGACTTCAGAAGCCTGTTGTTTGGGGGAGTATACATCAGGTTGCAAGAAGCTGTACTCTTCGCGGCCGAAGGGGTTCACTGCTCCTAATGTCCTAAACCCCTACGCCCTAAGCCCTAAACCCCAAACCCTAAACCTGAGTGTTCACATATCTCCAGATGCAGACATGTTTAGGCTATGGAGAACCCTAGACCCTAAACCCTAAACCCCAAACCCTGAACCCTAAACTTTAGGCTATGGAGCTCAACATCCGCACTGTCCTGCTTATGTGGGTCTAGGGCTTAGTGCAAGATGATACTAGCCCTCCAAAGTCGCCCCCAAGCATGGTTTTGTTTTGTTTAGGGTTTAGGGTTTAGGGTTTAGGGTTTAGGGTTTAGGGTTTAGGGTTTAGGGTTTAGGGTTCATTCTAAAGCCTAATTAAACCCTTAAAGCAATAAGTGCATGCAGCTCCACAGGCATGGATTAAGAGACTTTCCTGATCTAGGTTCCCCAGTAGCCCCTTCATAATAAGGGTACCCTCGTTCCTACTGCTTGGTGTTAATCAGGGAAGCCAAAAGGAAAAAGGGCAAATGGGTACTACTGGGGAACCTAGCGATGGAGAGGTTTTGGAAGCTCTCAGTGCAGACTTGAGAGCCCAAGGCATGCGTTCCTGAACCCATCCTCTGCACTCTTAAGGGTTTTAGGGGGTTTAGGGAGCTTTAGGGTCCAAGGGTTTAGGGAGCTTCAGGGTTTAAGGGTCTAGGGAGCTTCAGGGTCTAAGGGTTTAGGGAGCTTTAGGGTCTAAGGGTTTAGGGAGCTGTAGGGTCTAAGGGTTTAGGGAGCTTTAGGGTCTGAGGGTTTAGGGAGCTTTCGGGTTCAGGGCTTAGGGTCTATACTTGGAGGATCATGGGGGCTTAGGAAGTCTATGAGTACCTCAATTACGGTTCTAATCAAGTACAAGAATAGTTACCGGACTAGATATTACCCTAGTCATTAGGAGCCATGAACCTTTAATTTAAGTAGAGTTGAAGGTTCAGCATAGACTTCCGAGCCCGTAACTTCCACCGTCCAGGGTCTAAACTCTGGAACCCAAAATCCGAAATACTAAACCTGTTTGTAGCACCCATAGCAATCCTGTTTTAACGGAGCCCTTCAAAAGAGAAACTAAGAAACCTTGAAACCAAAACCCTAAAC